CCCCCCCCCCCAAGTTTTTCTAATTTCCCTCGTGCCCCCCCCCCCCGTTATACTGATGTACATTTGATATTTTCCTAACAACTTTAATACATTTGAAATGTGCACCAAGCACTAGAAAAACTCAAGTATCGGATCAGAACTCTGTATCGGCAGATACTCAATATTCAATGACTCGGATCAAGGGCACAAAAAACCTGATCGGGACATCCCTAATAATATGGTAAACATGATTTCCACAAAATTCTGGAAATTACAGCCACAAAATCAGTTAAAAAAAATAAATAATTAAATTTAAAAAATGCATACATACAGAACACCTGTTGGCACTGATCTTGCTGGGAATGTGTTTATAAATTGAGAAAATTACCTCTGCCAAAGACAGCGATGCTCCACTGGATGTTGGACACTGGGATTCAGTATCCGCTGAACACTCCACATCCAACTCAAAGTCCATTATTTCACCAAGGTCAATCTCTTCTCTGTTTCAATCACAAGAGTTAAATGAACACTGAATTACATTTAAAAAAAACTCTAAAACAACAATTGTGACCTGCAGAAAAGATGCATAAACTGTTGTAGTTTACTTCTCTCGTATTCAATCCTCTCTCAGTCAGCAGGATGCTGAAACTGTTACACATGCCTTCGTCACATCTCAACTTGATTACTGTAATTCACTTCTTTATGGCCTGTCAGCTATTAATATCAAACGACTACAATATGTTCAAAACTGCAGCTCGCTTGATTACCCACACAAGAAAGAACGATCACATTACCCCTATCACCTTCATCGGCTTCCGGATTCCTTGAGGAATAAACTACAAGATACTAATTCTCACTTATAAAGCTCTCCATAACCTTGGTCCTACATATTTATCTGACTTACTTCTGCCTTATCTTCCTACCCGCTCCTTATGATCTTCTGGTGAGGGATTGTTAGTCACTATGGGACTATGTTACTATGGGACTATGTTAGTGACTATGGGAGCTAGGGCTTTCAGTGTTGTGGCTCCCAGATTGTGGAATGCTCCTCCCCAAAACATCTGTCAAGCATCCTCCGTTCTCTCCTTCAAAAACCTCTTAAAAACACACTTTTTTCTGATTATTACTCTTCAGTTCTCAGTCTGTAAATTGCATCCTGGACGTTTATCTACATTCACTCTGTATCTCTAATCTAACTTTCTGTATATTACACTCAGCTCTTGGTATGTGTTCTGTCTTCTGGTATTGATGTTTATTTGTTTCTGTTCCTTAAACCTGACTTGTAAAGCGACCTTGGGTGTTGGAAAGGCACTATATAAATAAAAATAAAAATTATTATTATTATTATTATTATAATAACTACATCTTGTACAAACTTGTCTTATACATATGTTCAGAAATAATGTACAAGATGTAGTTGTAGTTCATGCATCTTTTCTGCAAAGATATTTAACAAGTGATTTAACATTTACATTATGTTGACAACTTCTTGTGTGGTGCACAAGTTCTACTTAGAACTTTTAAACGTTCTTCTTCATTTTTCATATAGACCAATATCTCCGCTTATTTATTTCAAATAATAGTTTATCAAAACATATTGGGTTTGTTCATGATAGTTGTTAGTATCTAATGATAAGAGAGTTATCTCTTATGTTATGAAGAGTTCATTATCATTATTATTATTATTATATTTTTTAAATATATCAAGGTGGTCCCTGTCCCCGTTTTTTTTTTCTTTCTTTCTCCGCTCATATTTTAATATTCATTTGTCTGTATAATGAGTGTGTTGGAGGTCTGTGTTTTATTGGTTGTTTTCTCCCCTCTTCCCACCCTCTACACTCCCAATTTTCCACAGCTTTACACGCCCATTTCTTGAGTCTTTTTCAAATCTGAAGTGTGAACGACCAGTGCTAAACCAGGAGGGTTTCATTACTTTAAAATACCTTCAAAATGATATGACTTCTTGGAATTGGACAAAAAAAAATGACTGAGCTACAGCCGTTTGAAGGCAATAAAGTCAGCAGAATTGATTTTGAGAAAAATCTAGTTAAAGTTTTCTGAAGATTCCAAAGCAAAATCACCAAGCAACGTTGCATATTTTCCTCCAAATATTTTCTTAATAATAGTTACTATATTATTAATCACAATATAGCTATTTTTTATTTTATCTTTGTTATTAAAAATAAGAACAAAGATGCAAATAAACATTAGTTTAACCAAGAGCAGCGAGTGATTCCTCTTTTCTTTTAATGTAAGACAGATCTATATTAAGACCTACTGTAATGCATGGATCTAATATAATGTTACACATCAGATTTTTCCTCAACCATTAACAAAACGTTTATCTAAGACATAACAGATTATGTTTGTGTGAATCTCGCCAAGTCATATTTCACAATAATATACTTTATAAGGAGATTGCACGCTCTGGGAGAGGCACTTCTTATGCACACGCTTTGCAAATGTCAGTGAGCACGATTGTTTTGTTTTCATCAGCATAGGTTTGAAAAATCATATTTCACTGGTTTGAACTCATGTCATCGAGAATTCGATATAAATATTCACAAAGCTGGAATGCTGCGGTTTGCAACAATAGACCTACAACTTGTGGTGAGAAGCAGCAGCAGTCGTCCAGAAGTCCTCTCAGAAAATGTACAAATAAAGATCATTTTAGATGTTTAATTTCTATTTGGAGCATTGGGATCGCTAGAAGAGGGCTTAATGAACTACTTTTTGCGAAAAACTCAAATTCGACCAAAACTGACATTTTTGACTTCTTTTGCCTGTAGCTCATTAGACCGTGCACATTTCAACTTATTTTGCCAGCACGGGTCACAATTAATCATTGTGTTGCCACTATGCTGGACCATTCATAAAAAATTATTGTTCCTTTAGGAAATTGTAGCAGTTTAATTTATTTGGACATCAAGAAGCTCACATCTGCTGCAGGTCGCTTCCCTCTTCTGCAGGAGGATCCCACGCGTGAAGTTTGACCCGCCACAGTTTAATTTGCTGGTCCCAGGAGCGTCGGCTGTACTTCTTGAATTTGTTTGGAGTCTTTGGATGAACACCGGGCTGTCTCATATCCCTAAAATAATGGTTAAAATATTGTTAAATACTTTAACAGTAAGATTATAACAGGCAATCACAGACAAGAGGACATAGCTGTATAATACATTTAGTTTAAAAACAATAATCATGATCTCACTCACTTGGGAACATCTTTAATGTATCTATCATATGCAAGAGTGTTTTTCCCATAATTAATCTGCTTTTGTCTCCTTATGAGAGTGGTCTCGTCTGTCTCGAGGTCACCTTTAGCAGGAGATTCTTTGGAATCTCTCGAGTCTCTGGAGTCAGAACTGAGGGAACATGAAAAGCTTGGGTTACAACTCGAGACATGACTGTTGTACAAGTGACATCTAATGGAACTGTTAAAATAAAAAACAGGATTCCAAAAACTTCCTCATTTGCCACTGTTCATGCAAACAGATAGTCCCACCCTAAACTCACACCATTGGTTGCACCAATGTTCCTGCATTTAGCTGGTCAAGATGCTCAAAAAAACACAGCAATGTTTTAAAATAGCAGCACAGAGTCACAGTGAATACAGTCTTCGTTGAAACAACATATAAATTGCATACTTTTAATGTGCATATTAGACTGAAATAGCAGAAAGTTTTGACACTGAAAAAGTTACACTAGCATTTTGAAGACTTAAAGAAAATGTTACATTGCTTTAATCACAAACCTTCCAGATGAGATTTTTCTGTCTCTTTGAGGAAAATCTGCTTCAAGAATCCTTCTTCTGTATCTGAAAAAGAGAGATCACTAATTGAGTTTATAAAGGTTATCAATAATGTCTTTATATTATATTAAAATAAACTACATTCATATTTACAGAGTAATTAGAACAGATAAAAAGAGAAAATCAAACGAGGCAACTGACCGATGCATATCACGTCGTACATTTGAACGCATTTCCTCTGCCTCTACCTCATCTCCCCAGTTTTTTACTCTGGACACAGGTCCCTCACTCTCTGGGGTTGTGAAACTACAGAAAATAATAACAATAATAAAAGACCAATCTAAATTTTGCCATTCAATTTGTCATCACTAAACATTGTTTGTATGCCAGGATGAGGTTAGATCTCATCCTAGCATAAAATTGACATTAATTCGATTAACAAAGAGTTTACAATTTATGCATGTTATACTCTACAAAATGCCAACCAAAAACAATTCCATTTGACTTTTGAGAAAATAAGTGTCTGTTATGCACACTATTTGAATCAGATAAGTAATGTATAACGAGCATCATTACCTTTCTGGTCTGCGTGAGCTATGTGAACATTTGCCAGGCTCTTCAACCTCGTAAGATTTTCTCAGATTACCATCTGCACCGCGTTTCCTACAATGGGACCATCTTGAAGCTCCTTTTTTCCTTCAAGACAAAAGATACAAGTAGCATTAAAAAAAAAAAAAAAAAGTAAACCAACTAAAAAGGATTCTTACACATTATCTGAACATTCTGCAACAGTATGGAGCACGTCTATTAAAAATACGTTTTTTTTTAGTAAACAAGCATTTCATGTTAAAACGAATTAATCGTTTTATACACACTTGACCACGAATCAGCTGTATTATAAACACCTTATAACAAATTTCTACACCAAAACAGCAACGTATTCATCTAAATCTTAAAAATACTCGTGTTCAACTGTTTTCAAGGCGCCACAAAATAACCCGCTGTCAACACACACGAGATCGAGCTGCTCACTAAAACATAAAAATAACTCAATAAAATGGCCGATTGAGACATGTACTTTTAGAAGTTCGGTTAATATGGTACAATCTTGATGTTCTCATGGCGCCAACATGCTCATTTACACTCTTAAACAAAACACTGGCGGGATCCTTCGTCCATTTCTGCAATAATGTGTCGGCGCTTAAAAGTTAAAGATACTAATAAAACGAAGCTAAAAGGAGTGCAAAAACGTGTTTTGATGCTTAAACAAACTAAATAGTTAGTGCACTAGACAAAACAATACTTCGGTCTTGCTTTGCTAGCAAACCGCTAACGTTAAACCAAAGAGTAATAAAACAAAAACAACTATAACCACGACTAAACATTTTTCGAATTCTTACCCGTTTTCATCAGGTTTGCAATCGTTTTCATATCTGTACTTTTGATGGGCAGACATTGTTTCGAATACAAATGAGAATTGAGAAAGCTTACGCACAAACTGCTACCGGGTTTAGATTAAACCGCGCCAATGTCCCTCGGTGTACGTCAACGTCGAGGTCACGTGACACTGGAGGGGCGGTGTTGTGAATTGACTAGCCCACAGACCCGCCCACATCCGCCGATCTTCAAATCATCGGTATTTTTCATTTCTACCAGTCTATTGTATGTAGATCACATCAAGTGTTTTAGCGCGTAATATTACGGAAGTCTTTTTAGAAACCTGTGGCGGGAATACAAACAGACAAAGCCCACAAAACGATGGTCTGGCGCTGTACACTCAAAAATGCTGGGTTAAAACAACACAATTTGGGTTATTTGGCAACCCAGCGCTGGGTAAATATTGGACAGAACCAAGCGGCAACCTCCCGGTCTCTCGTTTGAAGCGAATACGGAAGTGACTAAAACTGCAATTAATCGACTGACCGCTAGAGTAGCTGGCTCCAAAAGGGAGTCAGTCCCATAGTCTCCCAATGTTAAAATGCCCAACTTTACAGCAGAA